GGGAATGTACAACCCCTGCACTTGTGTGCTTCCTTTTTCCATATCCCTGTTTCCCGTGCCTAAAATAAAGAGCTGAGTTCTGTCCCAGCAGCAGAGAAATCCAGGCCCACTAAAGACTCCATTTGAAATAAAACTACTCAGAAAGGTCTGGATTTCATGGCTTGAAGCTGAGGGGATCTGTGTGTTCCCTGGAGCCACATCCTTCAGGAACAGCCCTGCATCCTGGGAGAGCTGGGATTTGCTCCTGGGGCTGGCAGCTCACAGCAGTTCTGTAAAACCCAGAGTTCCTGCAGAGCTGCATCCCTGCTGGCTCCTGGGCAGGACACCGGCCCTGCTGGAGCCTGAGACAGACAGACAGACAGACAGACAGAAAGGCTCTGGGGGCAGAGGAAGCCATTGCTGGCCCAGGCTCAGGGGCTGCTCTGTGCCCAGGTTGGGTTTGTGGGGCTTTGCTGGGTGATGCCAGAGCCCAGGGGCAGCAGCAGGCAGAGCTGAGCTTTGCTGCCCACGGCTTCACTTCAGTAACAAACACCAGATTATAGAAATGCACCTGGAGAGCACAAACAGAGTTGGTTTCACTTCCCACTCACCTGTGGCATTCCCTGCTGCAGGAATGTGCTCAGCCCAGAGCTGTGGGAAAGGGACACCTTCCCCAAAAGGCCTGGGAGCCTCTCCCTGCAGGGAAACACCCGGGGCACCTGCTCAGACCCTGCTCCTCTTCCTCTGTCTGTGATCCATGGAGTCCCTGGGGCTGGCACAGCCCTGCCAGCCCATGCAGTGCCAGCTGTGCCCACCTTGTGCCCAGCCCAGAGCACTCAGTGCCACCTCCAGGGCACACCTGCAGGGATGGGCACTGCAAAGCTCCCTAGAGGGGTGCCAAGGCCTGGCACCCTTTCCTTGTGCCCAGGTGCTGCAGCCATTTGATTCCCCCAGGCTGTGGTTTGTAGGCCTGGGTGGGTGTGGGAGCTCTGACCTCCCTTCCTCCCTGTGGAGTTCCAAGATGGCCCCAGCCCAAGCGGTGCCACACACCAAGGTGCAGCTGCTGAGGGTGGCAGGGGCTGTGAACAGTCTGGGAAGGGGTTTGGCCAAACATTCCACCCATCCATGGGATCCCAGAAGGTTTGGGCTGGAAGGAACCTTAGAGCTCATCTGGTTCCTATCCCCTGCCCTGGGGGAGTTCAAGTTCTGACCTGGTTATGAGTTCCTGCTCCAAGCAGGAGCAGAAATTCCATGCTTGGAACAGAAGGGGAATACCAACCTGCCAGGGGCAAACCAGACCAATAAAACCACGGTTTATTTTAAAAACACTTTGTACAATAAAAAAGGAGATGTCCAAGGCCTTTCCCCTCCTTTCCCTCAAAGCCCTTGGGTGTCCCTCCCACCCTGCCCCAGGCCCGGCACCTGCAGCCCAGGGAGGGCGACTCCTGCCGCAGGGCCCAGCAGCGTTCCTAGGCCTTCCAGGTGTAGCTGAAATCCTTCATCTCCAGCAGGCGGAGCGAGGATTTCCCCAGCGTGGGACACTGACTCAGCTGAGCCAGAGTCTGGGGGTGCAGCCCGCAGGCCGGCAGCTCCTGCTGCTCATCCTCCTGTGGGGGCACCGGCACCGAGTGAGGCTTTGTGAGGGAAATCACCCGGGGCAGTCCCGGTGTTCACTCCCTGTCCCCATCCCGGTGTGCGCTCCCCATCCCAGCCTGTCCCGGTGTGCATTGCCCATCCNGATCCCCTGCAATGCCCTTGCTGGCAGGCAGCCACGGGGTCTGTGTCCCTAAGAAGGAGCTGCCCAGAGTGTGCCTGGGGCAGGCACGGCCCCCTCGCTAACCCCTGGTTCCCCCGTGCCAGGTGAGAGTCAATGGCAACGAGTACAGGCCCACCTTTGCCAGCCTTAACAAGAAGCACGCGAAAGCCACGGCGGCCACGGCGGCGCTGCAGGCCATGGGACTCGTACCAAAGGAAAGCATGGTCAATACCACCATGTTCAGGAGTGCCTCACACCGCTAAGCTTGGCTTTACTGGGACACTGGTTCTGAGCATTTTACTCTGCACAACAAATGGTATTTGCCCCTCTCATGTTGTAAATACATCGGCGATTCCCACCTTGTAAAAACTGTACAGACACCCGCAGGTTTTTTCTTTTGTACCATCCAAATGTATTTAAATCATACTTAGTTTTTGGTATGTTTATATTGTTTACATTAGTGATGTAATTATTTCTTAAACGACTAAATCAGACGACAGACTCTGGAGGCATCAGAAATCCAGACCCTTGGCTGAAGCTCCTGCAGTTCCTCTCCTGTCAGAGCGTTGACCCTTTCTTTGATACAGTTTTGTAGTGGCTGCAGAGTCCCCTGGGCTCGGGGGTGCTGGGGACACCCTGGGGCCGTGCCCGGGCGCTGCCCCTCGGTGCCACCCTGGGGCACAGCCTGGCCCAGCCCCCCAGGGGCTGCAATTCCCAACCAGTGAATCCACTGCCTGATGCTGATTGTACGGATTTGTGGTTCATGTGAATTTTAAACTCTTTAACAAATCTACAACTGGATTTGGGGGGAGGGAGGGGGTAGAATGACGCTTCAATTGTTGTACCCAACTTGGTCAATAAAGCAGCACAAGTTCATAATCTTCACCCCTGGTCAGTAAGCAGTGATTGCGAGGGATGCCAAGCCAGGAAACAGGAATTTAAACTCGCCAAAATGCCTTCTGCAAGGAACACACACGTACAGAAGTGGCTTTGTGAGGATTCCCAACAGCCTTTGGGATGGCAGGAGCAGGTCAGGTGGTTTTTGTTAGTTTTGAACTTTTACAAAATAACTCCTTGGGATGCAATGTTCAGGATAAGGATCCTCTGCCCTCAAGGAGCCTGATGCAGAGTTTGGGCAGTTGGACAGCAGAGAGGATGTGGAAAGCTTTTCCTGCTTTTTATTCTTTATTTAAGAAGCATTAATCTTTGATCTGTGTGCACCCTTCCTGAGGGATCTGAGTTAGGGGCGGGCTGCCGGCATTCCTGCACTGGGGTCCTTCAGGGGCTTGTCCCAGACGAGTCCTTGTGAGCTGTGAACCTGAGCAAACCCAGCCAGGGACCCTGTGGCCATGGGGGTCCCTGGAGCTGAGGAGTCCCTGGAGCCCTGTGGGTCCCGTCAGGGTCACAGAACGCGGAGTCTCCTTGCTCTGCAGGGACAAGGCTTGGTGTTCCCTGTGCAGCAGGGAGTTGGGCTTGGTTTGGAGGCACAAAAGCCCCTGTGAGTCTGTCCAAGCGCTCCGAAAATGCTTCAGTTGATCTTCATTTCATGGACGTTGTTGTCTTGAATTAAACTTTTTTCCCTTTGGCATCTCGCCTTTGGTCTCTGACTAAACTGTGGAGCTTGTCCTGCAAGTGCCTGGGAGGGGTGAACTGCCAGGANAGAAGGCCCAGAAGAGGTCCGGCCATTACGTGGTGATGAAGGATCTCTCAGGTGAGTTGGGTGCCCGGATGGCTGCAGTGCCAGGGGCTGGCTGGGCACTGACCCTGCTGTCTGTGTGCCAGGGAAGCACCCGGTGTCTGCGCTGATGGAGATCTGCAACAAGAGGAGGTGGACGCCGCCCGAGTTCGTGCTGGTGGACGACAGTGGGCCTGATCACCGCAAGCATTTCATCTTCAAGGTGGGTCTGGGCTGCCTGCCCCTGTGCTGCTTTCTCTGTGCCAGGGGTGAAATCCATGTTTCTGTTTGATAGAAACACCTCACGGGGCTGGCTGAGGATGGTGGAGCCGTCTCGGTGCTGGAACGTGCAAGTCCTGTTCCTGGAAAGGCCAAACCGAGTCCCTGGAGCACTTTATTCTGGGATCCCAGGGCTGGAGCCCCTCTGAGGCCAGGCTTGGAGAGCTGGGGGTGCTCACCTGGAGGAGGGAAGACTCCAGTGAGACCTCAGAGCTCCTTGCCGGCCCTAAAGGGGCTCCAGCAGAGCTGGAGAGGGACTGGGGACAAGGGCTGGAGGGGCAGGACGCAGGGAATGGCTTCCCTCTGCCAGAGGGCAGGGCTGGACGGGATCCTGGGAATTAGGAATTCCCTGGCAGGGTGGGCAGCCCGTGGCACAGGGAGCCCAGGGCAGCTGTTGCTG